AGTAGCAATTGTCATGTGCATAACAAGGTAAGTAATGATGTAAGAAATATCAACTTTAAATTAGAGCAGGTGGCTGTTAAATTAGAAGAAAATCTTGAAGCACAAGAAAAATGATAGATGCTTTGAGTCCACCAATCTGTTGGGAAAAATTCTACAATCCCTGAGGTTTCCAGTGGCTTTGGCCTCTCTCCATCTTTCTTACTTAGAATATCATCAAGAACTCATTCTCAGTTATATCTGGGCTGTAGGTGGAGGGAGCATGAGAACAGTTAATGAAATAAAGGAATTTAGGAATCTTAAAACCATGTACCGTCTTGGAGTACTGCATTTAGGAATAATAATGGTAATAGCAGAATTTCTAGAATGATCTGCACATGCACAGAAAGCCATGCAGAAATTTTTTAATCCCTACAGAACTGTTTTATGCCCTAAGTATAGATTTTCCCCATAGTAAATATAGTAAGAAAGGAATAAATCAGAAGCAAAAGGTAACTACTTTTCTTGTTATATTATTGTATTAACATTACTTCATTTTCTGGAGTACAGAAATAAGTAATATGCTTTAAAATTCTATACCATAAATAAAACTATTCATCTAAATTAAAGGACTTATTTGGAGTACAATTGGCATAAAATGGGTCTTTTCCAAACTGAGTAGAAATATATAAGGTCAGACTGAACTGGGCCTGTGAAAGTCAGAGCATATCAAGTTAATAAAATTGTCTTTTTGCTTCTCAATTGAATGTCTTTTATTCCTGCTTATCTTTTCCTACTTCCTTTAAGGGTTTTGTTCAAAAATCTCATAAATATCATCTCTCTATTTTCCTGTATTATTCTGGGCAGAGGGTTGGATCATACCAAATACAGATATTTTCAGACCATAATGGATTTATGGCCCTTCTATCCAAGGTCTGGATAGAAGCCAGACCTTCAGTAGTCTCAACCATCTGGAGCTGGAATGATCAATCTAGAAATGATAAAAAAATATTCTGAGTAACATATATTTTTCATAAAACCCAGGCACTGTAGTCAGTATGCTTTATTTCACAGACCAGATGATCTGCCCTTAGGCAAGACTACTGAGTATAAAATTGGGCTGCAGATCAAATTAGGGACAAAATAATATAACACATAATGATACAGAAAGAGAAGGTAGGGGAAAAAAATAGCAGAACTGACTGTGGCCATTTAGTATAGACTGAGAGGGTAAGTAATTTGCCTGTGGTCATCCAACTAGTAAGTGGAAGTGCTTGAATTTGAATTCAATACTGTCTGATTTCCAAATCATTCCTCTTTCCACCAACCCATCAAGAGGAAAGAGGGTCCATGTTGAATCATCTTAGGAAATATGTTTGCCAAGTAGGATGATTGCATGGGAGCAGGGTTCAAACTTGAGTTTGTAGCAGTTTAATAGGGTTTTTGAGCTGGGGAGTTTTGGTACAAATCATTTTTCAGAGTATTAATTTGAGTCATCTGAAAAATTCACTGGAGGCCAGGCTTGGTGGCTTAGCCTATAATCCCAGCACTTTGAGACCTAGATGAGTGGATTGCCTGAGCCTGCGGGTTTGAGACCAGCCCCGACAACTTGGCGAGACTTCATCTCACAATTACAAAAAAAAAAAAAAAAAATTAACCAGGCATGGTAGCACGCGCCTGTAGTTCTGGCTAGGAAGGCTGAGGTGGAAGGTTCACTAGAGCCCAACAGATGGACGCTGGGGTGACCGTGAGTGTGCCACTACTCTCCAGCCTGGGCGACAGAGTGAGACTTCGACTCAAAAAAATAGAAGAAAAATTCACTGAAGTAGTGAGAATATGAGGTGGAGGGAAGACCATTTAGGACATTATTAGAGTATAGCAGGAGTGGGATAATAAATTATTCAGAAGGCAAAAATAAAAAAAAGGTAAAGTAAGAGAAGATTTTTGAGGGTTGATGATAGTGCCATTTTAAAGAGGATCAAAAGATGTTAGAGTCACTAGGAAGCAGCATTTGAGTTTAACCCCTTCATTTAGAGAAGTAGGGAAATGGAAGCTCTGAGATAGAAGTACTTTGCCCAGGGTCACAGAGCTAGGTGAGCCCTCTTACAACTCCTAATTCAGCCTTTTACCCAACTCTGTGCTTCTGTTCTCAGTGTGCTATAATCCTCAACTACTAAATAAAAATTACCTGGCAGGCAGTATTGAAGGTACCCTCTAGTTTCTACGCTGAATACCCTTGTTACCCTCATGGCCACTTAGATATCACAGTGTACTTCTGTGACACAGTGTCTTCACTGTCCACTCTCTCTATGACTGAAGGGTCATCTCATTGAATTTATCACAGATTTCTCCTTGAAGCCTATCTTTTTTTTGTGGTATTTCCTGCCCTAGAATGTTTTGCTATCTTAGATTTGGAATATTATAATTACATACTTGGATTTATCTCCATTGAATTTTTAAGGAGTGTCTCTCCCACACAGTCTGTTATGAGACAGCTGTTCACGTATACCATGGTGGCTGATACATGGGAGGAATCTTCCTTTAAAAGGATGTTCCCACTGACCTACTTACCAAGTCTTCATGAGTCAAATTTTCTTTTCCTATTTTTGGAATCTCGTTTCATATTTTTAGACTCATAGAATGACAGATTGGCAGAGACTTCAAACATCATCTTAACCAAACCTCCTTATTTTATAGATTAAAAATCATGGCCCTAGGAAGTTAGAACTTTTCCAAGGTCATGGTGAGTTAGTGTTGGTAAAAGAGGGTTGCTTCACCACTCAACCAGTTTTCTCATGTATGAAATGGAGATAATTCCAACTCTATCTCAAAGTGTTTTTATGAGGATTAGTGAGATAAAATCTGTGAAAACCATATTCAAAATGGAAGTATTATCATCAAGGCTTTTACGTCAAGGCAAAGCTATACTCTTTGAGTAAAACATGGAATGTTAGGGTAGGGTACAAGACTTTCTTTACATTAGATTGTATATTTCTTTCTGGCAGGGATTTTAGAAGTTAGCCCAACTCCTAATTTAATATTTTACATTCAGAAAACTTGAGGTTGCGTAGTTGGCTATTAGTAGAGCCCAAACTCAAAATTACCAGAATGCATCCCAGCGTTGCATAGCACAGCCCCTTGGGCATAGTAGTACATAGTAGTGCAAGCTGTGTTTGTAGTCTAATGAGTAGATACAGCAGTTACGACACAGTGAGATTTGGAGAACTATGAAAGAACATGATAAAATGAGAGCAGAATCAAGAAATGCCCCTTATCCCCAGCATGGCTGTTCTTTATGGGTTTCCATGGTTTGCCCTAGCGGAACGCGTACAAGTTCTTTTGTGCCATTGTCTACAATCAGTAGATATTTCTATTTATTTATATTTGAGGTTAATAAGCATACGTTTTCCTGATTTCCCCCTTTGTCTAAACTGTTCTTGTCCTTTTGGAGGTGTCATAATGCTCAGGGAAAGTACATAGGCCAAGGTCCTTTCTGCTGTCACGGGTTTCTTATGTTATCAGTCACTGGCTAGGGAGTTGCCAGGTCAGAGGAAGGGTAGGATTCCTGTCAGGGCTGCTTATATAGTGGCATAGACAATGGGAATGAGCTTTGCTGTGTCAGTACCTCTATCATATATCAAATCCTCCCAACTCCCAGCTTTGTAGGAAAGGTCTGACATTATGTTTATCTGTGCCTTGTCTTGTACCAAATACCACCTTGTTTTCCCTTTATGTGATTGCATGCAATGTAGCTTTATATATGAATTGTGTATTACTCGGGAAACATTTGAAATATCCTAAACAAAATGATATTTTTCTTTCTTTTTAATGCAACAGAAAATGCCCCAAAAACAATAGAGGACGTCGACAGAAGCAAAACCTAGGTCATTTTACTTCAGATACGTCATCCAGGATGGTTTAAACTGATGACTTTTATATGTACACTGACCATGTGATATACATTTATTATGTCTTTTTTTAAAGAATGGAAATATTTATTTCAGAGGCCTTATTTTTGGACATTTTTAGTGTAGTACTGTTGGCTCGTATTTAGAATATTCAGCTACAACAGTTTTGGACTGTTTAGTAGTCTTTCTTTTATGTTTTTAAATACAGAAATTGATTTCACAAATTTGTACCACATGGTAATTCTAAGACTTGTTCTTTACCCATGGAATGTAATATTTTTGCAAAGATGGACCACTTTACAAATGGTTATAAAGTCATACCCACTTCTTCCACAATGACCATAGCAAATGACCAAGCATGAACTAAAGGTAAAAATGTTTACAGATTACTTTTCTTACAAAAAAAAATCTAGAAGACACTGTGTTTAAATAGATATTTAAATGTTTTTGAGATTTAGTAACTGGTTTTTTAGACACTGCCTATTGCATGAACTGTAAAGCTGTGTGTGTTAGATATAAAGTATTTATATGATGTATGGGTTGGAATTTAATTATTCCTCTCTTTGAAAAAATAATGCTAATAATTTGAAAAAGTATCTGATAGTACTGATGAAACAGATCACCGAAAAGTAGATTTAGATATTGTGAAAATAGGCTGTTTGACAAACACATCAAAATAAAGCCTACTCTATGAGTTAAACTACTTTAATACACATTCATTTTTAAAGAAAATATTTGTTTTAACATAAATAAACAAATGGTATTAGTGTTTGTGAATAAAATGCAAAAATAATTGTTAATGATTGGTGCTCTTAAAGTGAGCTTAAAAATTATTTGAGACCTCTATCTAAATTTGTCCTGTAGTAATAGTTATATTAATAGATTGTTGGTGTTTAAAGATCTGAAGTGTGAGTAGAAAGTATTCAGCTGTTTAACATGTAGTTTAGGTATTCAAAAGTATGCATGTAGAATTTAAAGACTGTTAAAAATTATTAATTTTAATATTTTGTTTGGAAAAGCATGTTATAATATAATGTTTTCTCTATATGGCCATTGTTTTGGTGTGTTTATTTACTACCTTCCTTGATATTGATGTATCAATATATTTAATATGCGAAATTAATGGAAAAAGCAGTTATCAGTGCAAAATTTCCTTTTACTGCTTGAAATTATCTAAAGGCAAAAAGCTTCACCCAACATTTGGAGTTTGCCTTTTTGTTCATTTGGCTTCTAGACTTAATATTAATAACATGGTGGCTTTAGTGAACTTTTAAAAAAGCTTTCCTCTTCTACCCACAGAGTTTTATTTGAGTCCCTTAGTCAGTCAGCAAGCATGTTTGGAACGGTCCCCGGTGCTTTGCAAGGGTTCATATTGCAGAACAGTCACGTATGGGTATTTGTAGTTATAAATACTTGACCATTCTCCAGGGGTGGGGTTTCCAACCCTTTAAACAACCCCGTTGCCTGTTATCAAGCCTCCTTTTTGCTTTAAGTGCCAGAATTGCTTGTGGTTAGGACATCTTTTGCCGAGAAACAAATAAAATGGAACATAATGGGTCTGCTTCAAATGCTGATAAAATTCACCAGAATCGCCTGTCAAGTGTGACAGAAGATGAAGACCAAGATGCTGCTCTTACCATTGTGACTGTGCTGGACAAAGTAGCCTCCATCGTGGACAGTGTGCAGGCAAGCCAGAAGAGAATAGAGGAGAGACATAGGGAAATGGAAAATGCCATAAAATCTGTCCAGATTGACGTGTTGAAGCTTTCACAGTCACATAATAATACAGGCCATATCATTAACAAGTTATTTGAGAAAACCCGGAAAGTCAGTGCTCACATTAAAGATGTGAAGGCCCGGGTGGAAAAGCAACAAATTCATGTTAAAAAAGTTGAAGTCAAGCAAGAGGAAATAATGAAGAAAAACAAATTCCGCGTGGTTATATTCCAGGTAAGCTTGTACTTGTTTGCAGTGTGATAATTATAATCCCTTAAATCTTTTAATTGCCCACAAGTCTTATCAGAGATTTCCAATGTCATATCTTAACTATTGTATACGTTAATACAGTGGAACTCTGTATCAGCAGAGATTTCAGGAGAAAATCATTTCTATGTTAACTAATACACTATCTGTCGTATCAGTATTTTGAGCTTCTCAACCATTTCATGTAATATGAACTGTGGTTCATAGCTTAGGCTATTTCTTGCCTTTGAAACTTAATATTGGCAAAGCTCTTTCAGCATATTAACCTAATTAGTGCCCTCTCATAAACTTTGAAAATGTTAGAACTAGAAGAGAACTAAGAAGCCTCTAGTTTAAAACCACCTCTTTGTTATATAAAAGAAGAAACGGAGGACCACAATATGTTTTTTCCCTTATCATGGAGAGCCCAGAAAGCCTTAATAGTAAATTATAAACTTTTCAGATATGAATTATGTATTAGAATTTTTACATATAAGTCACAATGATAAGAAAAGCTGTCCATTTCTTAATGAATAACCAGGCAATTGTTCTTATTTTTATATTGCTATTAATATAAATATAGGAGTCACATAAATAATTCCTTACATTTGATTACAAAGTTTTTTTTTTAACTTAACTGACTTAATATAATAATTTTTGTGTGGCATTGTGTATTGAGCTAAGTTCCTATATTATTCCCTCTTGACACTCATATTTTTGGAAATAGGAACATATCCATGGCAAATGTATAATATGTTTTTTAAACTCTTACAAAGTAAAAGTAAACAGTTGGACATTCCTCTCACAATAGAAAAATGGGAAAGTGTCATTGTAAAACAGTTTACAAAAACAAAATAAATAAGAATAGAATTCTACTTTTAAACTTATTTAAATATTGGCAGTTTCTGCAACATATGCCTAGAGGTTAAGGATTGGAAAAGAACAAACACTGTTATATTCTGCTAATAGAAATATTAATTGGTACAACATTTCTGGAAGGCAGTTTTGATAGTGTGTATTAAGAACTTTAAAAATTCACAAACATTTTGGCTCCCAAATTTCATGTGAAAGAATTTGTTCCAGGCTAACAGTCAAAAATGTGTGTAGGAATGTTTATTGATGGATATGGATGAAGTATTATCTATCTATCTATCTATTTATTTATTTATTTGAGTTGGAGTCTCACTCTGTTGCCCAGACTGGAGTGCAGTGGCCACTCCCGGCCACCGCAGCCTCGACCTGCTGGGCTCCAGCGATCCTTCCGCCTCAGCCTTCCCAGTAGCCGGAATTACAGGCATGTGCTACCACACCTGGCTGATTTTTCTGATTTATTGTAGAGATGAGGTCTCGCTGTCCAGGCGGGTCTCGAACCCGCGGGCTCAGGCAATCCACTCACCTCAGCCTCCCAAAGGTGCGGGATTACAGGCTGAGCCACCGAGCCCGGCTTGAAGTATTATCACAACTGTATTTTTAAAATGGATGCTTATATGCATAGGAAAAAATCTAGAATAAAAACTAAATGGGATAGGGACACAGTTGGATTATGTGGGCAATATTGTAAAATAACAGAGATGTGACCCATAACTCCCCTCATCATTCTTAACATATTAGGCAGTTCTCCATAGCCTTCTGTTGACTGATAAGGTTACACAGTGATGGTAGAGTGAGTGGTATTTTGAATCAGTTTTTAAGAGCCTGTAGGTTATTTAGGAAAAACAATAGGGAGGAAAGAGAAGAATTGCTTATTTCAAAGGTAGATAGGGTGAACTATGTCATTTGAAGTCCTTTGTCATTTTCCTTTCCCTTCAGATCCCTCGAAAACCTTGTCTAGGCTTTCACATTTGAAGAAAATCAGTCACCTTACTTTCAGAGAGTGGCCAGTCCAGTTTAGTGTATGTAGTGGGGATCTAGATTTGGTATCAGGGAATGTAGTAGCCTTATTTTGATTCACCTTCGGAGGGCATTCACAGTAGTGGATATATCTCATCCTCCACTTGCATGGGGCGTGCTCAGGAAACATACTTGGCATCCTGCATGTCTGAAAACCCTTGTTCAAAGCAGTGGACTGAGTGACAATCAAGATTTACAAAGAGTACAGCAAAGAAGTTTCTGAAAAGTTCTCTTGACTCTGTCCATTGACAGAATTCTTTTTTAAAAAATTAAGATGTTTCTATATTCACCTGTTTAGTCTCTATATCTTACTGTTAATTTTTTTTTCTTGGAGCCACTGGTATTATTTAAAGTAACTTAGGAGTGCTATTTTAGGTCAGATCTCTTTTACTGTAAGAAATTGCTATGAAAATTCTGTGAAATTAAGATGTTCAGAGTAGGCAGTGGTTTGTCAAAAAGCAATGGCTGTCATTTATAATGGAAGAACTTATAGAGAAAAGATACATGGACATAGAACTCTGATTCAGAGATTCATTAGATAGTAGACTCCTGTTCACGGTATTCACTTAGCAGTTAAAATTAATTATACTTCTCATAGTTAATATGTATAAAGTTATATTGAGATTGCCCCTTCTACTAAAATTAACTTGAAACTGAGCAATTCAGCCACAGTAAAAATTATCTGTTTCTTATACAACTGTCATTTCTCTTTGTACATCCTTTCACCTTGATGACCCTTTTCATCATGCAAGCCAGGAGTCTTGCCATATCTTCTGCTAATTTTGGTTACTAGCTACATGCTTGTGATTACCCAGTAAGATATTTGGCCATTCTCTAATATGTCTCAGACTTTTATATATTCAATATTCCCCAGCTATATGTGTTCAAGTGCACATTACTCTGACCCCCAGTATTTATTCTGTTACAAAAGTGGTCTTTTTACCTGGACTTTTACATTAAAAAGTATGATTATATTTGGAAAGCATCTGTAACTTAACCTTATAATCTTCAGTTATTATTACAGTCCATTCATCATTAACTCATGATATCTCTGACTCATCAGAGTTGCAACAAATTGATCCACATAACAAGTACTTTTTTCACTCTACCTCTGCTTTGTTTTGTTTTAAAGCCTGATTTTGTATTATTTTTTGTGTACTTGAAGAAGGGTATGTGATTCCTGGGATAAACTGTGTCTGACTTCTTCACAGCAAGATTGTGTGTTTTTCCCCTACCAAGCAGTAATTGCTCTTTGGCTCTTTCCTTTTCTAATTATACCTTCTTGGGCCATGCCAACCCACACTGTGTTGCTGAAGCTACTCCCTGCAGCAGGTGTCAGGAAAGGCGAGGAATAATTTTGCTGCTTCTAACTGATTCATCAGAGAGATATGGGACGCCCACCCCTGCCTTTTTTTTTTTAGCTCCCAGACTTTCTAATCCTGTAGCCAAAGAAATTTATTTTTCAAAAAGTATCCAAAGAACTAAGTTTCCAGGGATACCTTCTTGACTATCAGCCTGATAGGTTTTGGAATATGCACAAATGTTTTCTTACATATTTATTGTTTTTTGACTGAATAGACAATTTGGATCTCATGTGAAAGCAGTTTCTTTTAGAAATTTTAACTCAAGTTTCAGTTAAAAATTTCATGATTGACTGGATGCAGTGACTGACACCTGTAATCCCAACATTTTGGGAGACCAATACAGGAAGATCGCTTGAGGCCAGGAGTTTGAGACCAACCTGGGCAACATAGTGAAACTCTATCTCAACAACAATAAAATTAGCTGGGCATGGTGGTGCTCACCTGTAGTCTTAGCTATTCAAGAGGCTGGATGGAAGAATCTCTTAAGCCCAGGAATTCAAGACTGTAGTGAGCTATGATTGTGCCACTGCATTCTAGCCTGGGCAACAGAGTGAGACCCTATCTCTTAAAAACACACACAGATAGTATTTAGGATTGATAGGCTTTCTTGGTGGATTAGCATGTTTATCACTGCAATGTCCCTCCTTATTAACATTCTGAAGCCTACTTTATCTGATATTAATATAGCCACTTCAGTCTTTTTTGTTGGTATTTATACTTTCTTTTGCATTGCATTGATGTTTTTTGCACTTTTAAATTGAACCTAGCCATGTCCTTATATTTAAAGTGGGTTTCTTTTCAATAGCATGTAATAGAGTCTTGAGAGATTTTTTTAAAACTAAAATCTGAAACTTTTTGTATTTAAAAAACCTCTCTCTCTCTCTCTCTCTCAAGTTTTGCCTGTTTAGTTTTAGAAATACTTCCTAAATAGTCAATTGGGTTCCTTCAGCTGCTGTGATCTAGGCTGGTTCTCAAGGTCTTCAGTGTGTGTCATGCTTCCAAATCCAATTCTTATCCTAACTCTTTTAACTCATTTGACATAATTGGTCCCCCTCTCTCTTCTTGAAACTTATTTCCCCTTGGCTTCTGAGGGTGCTGCTTTCTTTTGGATTTCCTCCTGCCTCACTGGCTGATATTTCACCTTTTTTTTTTCTTTCTCATCACTTCCTTCTTAGTTATAGATCCAAAATCCATGATCTATAACACTAAAGTCCAATAATTTCTAAAAATAATTTTTTCATAACGTATTGGACAGCAAGATCTAGCTTGATCTGATCACAGTCAGTGAGAAAACTTGACCTGAAATAGCATGAGGCTATTTATAGTCTTTATCCCAAATTTAGTATGAGTATTCATAGATTTTGCCACAGAAATGTTTCTTCCCAAGATCTCACTGGGAATGTCACATAATATATGTCATATTAGTTTTCCAAAATCCGAAATACTGTGAATTCTGAAAGACTCCTTGACCCCAAGGAGTTTTGAATAAAACAAAGTGTAGACCCATTCATTCAATCTCTTAGCAAATCTCTTTCATTGGGTCTCATGACTTTTTTTTTGGAGTTAAGTTCTCATTCTGTTGCTCAGGCTGGAGTGCAGTGGCATAATCATGATTCACTGCCACCTAGGTCTCCTGGGCTGTCCCTCTACCTCAGCCTCCCAAGTAACTAGGACTACAGTCACATGCCACCACAACCAGCTAATTTTTTTCATTTTTTTCTTAGAGAAGAGGTCTCACTATGTTGCTTAGGCTGGTCTTGAACTCCTGGGCTCAATCAATTCTCTTGCCCTGGACTCCCAAAGTGATGGAATTACAGACATGTACCACTCTTTTAACTGCATTCACCCTGGCCTCATGACTTTTAATTCCATTTTTACATTGATGTCTTCTCAATTTGTATGTCTAGCTTTGCCTTCTCTTCTGAATTCCAGACTCGTCTACTCAGCTGCCTTACTCATTGCCTCTGCTTGCATGTCCAGTGGGCATCTCAAAGACAGAGCGGTCAGATGCCACCCTTCCCTTCCAGTTTCTTCCTCCTGCTGTCTTCCTCATCTCAGTTAATGGCAAATGTATCCTTCAGTTGCTCAGGCCATGTACTTGAGGCTCATCCTTGACACACTCTAACACTCTATATTCAAAACTAGCAGCAAATCCTGTTGGCTCTTACCTTCCAAGCAGATCTGAGAATCAGACCACTTTTTACCCCTACCCTGCCAACACCCTTACCCAGCTCTCCTCTGCCTTGTCTCATGTTGTCTATCTGTTATCCCTGCCTCCTGGCTCACCCCACAGCCTATTTTCAACAAAGTGATCCTTTTACAATGTGGGTCAAATCATGGCACTACTCTCCTCAAAATTTTGTAGAAGGTTTTCTGTCATACTCAGAATACGAGCCATTGTCCTTACCTTTGGATGCAGACCGTTTCATGATCTGGCTCTCCTGATACCTCCCTCACCCACTCTTCTCCTCCTCTTGCTCCTTGATCACTCTGCTCCAGCCACATGCCCTCCTTGCTGTTTCTGTTATTACCAGATATACACACAGCCTTCAGGTCTAGGCTTAGGTGTCACCTTTTTAGTGAGGACTTTCCGACCACTATAGTCCAATCAGCTCTAACCCCTGTCACTGCATATCCCCCTTCCCTGCCTCTTCTCAGCTTAGCACTTATCACCATTTAACATGCTGTATATTGTTTATTTGTCTCTCTCCAAGAATATAAGCTTTTTTACTCTTTTGTCTTCACCAAAGTTTCTCAGTGTCTAGAACATTGACCGGTTCTTGGTAGTGCTTAGTAAATACTTGTTGAAGAAAGACCTAAACCTCGTATTTGACCCAACAGTCATTTATTGAGTATACCTACTGTGTACAAGGTACTCTGATAGATGCTGGGCATAAAACATAAGTGAGACACAGTATCTGTACTTTCAAGGAATCTGTTACCTAGTGAAGGCCCCAGGGAGAAATACAGAAAAGAGTAGAGTTGCAATTCAATTCAAACTGTGATAGTGTTCTAAATAGAGGTATGTACCTGTTCTTTTGGTGTACATTTGAGATAGAATTAGCCACTTGGGGAGGCTGGGGACATTTGAATCGATTCTTTTTTTTTGTCTCACTCTGTCACCCAGACTGGAGTGCAGTGGCTGGTCCCGGCCACTGCAGCCTCGACCTGCTGGGCTCCGGTGATCCTGCCGCCTCAGCCTTCCAAGTAGCTGGAACTACAGGCACGTGCTACCACGCCCGGCTAATTTTTTGATTTATTGTAGAGATGAGGTCTTGCCAAGTTGCCTAGGCGGGTCTCGAACCCGCGGGCTCAGGCAATCCACTCACCTCAGCCTCCCAGAGCGCGGGATTACAGGCTGAGCCACCGAGCCTGGCTGAATCGATTCTTGAAGATTTCATTCACAAAGCCAAAAAGAGATGAAGGAGCATTTAAGATATCAGAAACCTCTGGGCATGTAGTGTGCACTTTTAGTTCTGGCTACTTGGGAGGCTGAGGTGGGAGGATTCCTTGAACCCAGTAGTTTGAGTTCATCTTGAGCAACATAGTAAGACCCTGTCTTAAAAATTTTAAAAAGATATCAGAAACCATGTATCCAAAGGCATAGAGGGATGAAAGCATTTCATGCTTGAGAAAATGAGAGTGGTTGTTGCTGGGCTAGAAGATGGGTGAGAGGGTTTAGCTATACCTGAAGAGCCTTCTCGTAATATTGAAGAATTTGAACTCCATCCTTTGAGCTATTGATGAGTTCTCCAATGTATAAAGCAGAGAAGAAATGTGATTAGAGCTATGCTTTAGAAATATTTCTGAGGAGATACTTATGTGATGTTCTGGAGGTAGAAGGATCAGTGAGGCGGTATTGCACAAGTTTAGGCCCCAGATGACAAGGGCCAGGGTTAAGACATTGGCAGAGAAAATAAGAAAGGAGGAAGGAAAAGACAGGTGAGTTGTTAGACAGTATTATCAATGGGGCTTGGTGAGCAGTTAGGTATGGGATGAGAGGGAGAGGAAATATTTGAGATGATGGTTCTGGGGTGTCTCTTATGTGGTACCTGGATAGGTGTCAATGCTGAGAGGTACAGTTAAAAAAAGCAGAAGTAAATAGGGATGGCGGATGGGCCTTGAGTTTTGAACCTGCTGAGTTTGAGGTGCCTGTGTTACACTAAGTGAAGAAGTCTGTCCATCATTTAGACATGTGTATTAGTTCAGAAGGAGCGGGGTGAAGATAAAATATTTGTGAGTTTGTTTACAAGTAGATCTAAAGGTGTAGGAGTGACTAAGTTTGCTTAGGGTGAGCTCGGGACATGAAGAAGAGTAAAGAGTCAAGGAGAGAGAAACCCTGAGAATTGTCAACGTTTAAGGAGTGGGCAGCCACGGCCAGAAGGTAAGAGAGCTGATCTCCAATGCGAAGGAAGCACTAACATGCTTTGTTTTTCCTTCCTTCAGGAGAAGATCCGGTGTCCCACAAGCCTGTCTGTTGTTAAAGACAGAAACCTAACTGAAAATCAGGAGGAGGATGACGAGGATGTCTTTGATCCCCCAATAGATCTCTCTTCGGATGAAGAATATTATGTTGAAGAAAGCAGATCTGACAGGCTTAGAAAGTCAGGCAAGGAACGCATTGATAATATCAAAAAGGCATTTTCTAAAGAAAACATGCAGAAGACACGGCAGAATTTTGACAAGAAAGTGAACAGAATTAGAACTAGAATAGTGACCCCGGAGAGGAGAGAGAGGTTAAGGCAGTCAGGAGAGAGGCTGAGGCAGTCAGGAGAGAGGCTGAAACAGTCAGGGGAAAGATTTAAGAAATCTATTTCTAATGCAGCTCCCTCAAAGGAAGCTTTTAAGATGCGTAACCTCAGGAAAGCTAAGGACCGAACTGTTGCTGAAGGTCAGGAAGGTGGCAGGGAGATGGGTGTGGACATCATTGCCACCAGCAAGTCCCTGGGCCCCATCAGTGAGCTCTACTCTGATGAGCTCAGTGAAACAGAACATGAAGCAGCCAGGGGGCCATATTCTCCCCACGAGGGAGGGGAACTCCCCACCCCTGAGCCTTTAAAAGTCACTTTTAAACCTCAGGTGAAAGTAGAGGATGACGAATCTCTTTTGTTAGATTTAAAGCAGTCATCATAGTCATTAATGTATTTGTGCCATATAGGAAAACACAAATGGTATTGCTGTTTCATTTCTTATAGTTAAAATCTTGAAGATCACGTGAATATTAATTACATTTCTTTGTAACTCCCTTTGGAATTCTCCCTACCTTTCCAGCAGCTTTTTCTCTTACGTCACTCTCATGACAGCTGTGGATCTTTCAGTTCCTTCTCTTGCCCATAAGAAAAATAGTTTCCTAAGTCAGGCCAATTAGGAGTCTGGTCATCTGAAACAAATGAAGAGCACCTTTTTTTTTTTTTCATTTGCAAGTGGACTCTAGATACTGGTCTGGATTAATATTGCAGCCAACCTCAAAGAGAAATAACTGTGTGGATTATATCATCCACATCAGATCAACAGATCTGATCAGATTAACATTTTTGTTAGTTAATTAGCAATCATACCTCTTTTTTGATGCTGCTGCATAAAAACGTTGAAGTTCTAGACTTGAGTGTTTGGCTTTAGCGTCATAGCTGTACTTAACAGCGAAACACCTGGCAAATCGTCTGCTTATTCTCATCGATAAAAACAGAGAGAATTAGTCCATCTTGCTTATCTCAGAGGACTGTTGTGAAGATCAAAGGAAACATTATACATTCTGGGGGAACAAGAAGCACATCTGGAGAAAATAAGCCTGACTAGTTCCTCAAAAACAGAATAGAAATAATTACACCTTCTGAAAGAACCCTGAGCACAAATCATTGAGGTTCTAGGTTTGACAGAAACTAAAGTTGGTCTTCATAAGCCTTTTCACAGATTCAAAAGTGAAAAATAGTTTGGGTGACTCCTTTTCCATCAAAGGCTGAAACTAAAACTTGGATTTTAGTTGAGTCTTAAAATGTTCCTGGGCAAAAGTCTTTACTAATTCTTTTTGAAATTCAGATCTGTGGACTATAGCAACATTTGTTTGAGTGGTATGAGGCATAAAGTTGTGGCTATGTTGTCAAGCACCTTTTTAAAGCCAGCCCTGATTGCAGTGGGTTTAGAAATATTTCTGTTTTCCAGAGCAAACCCTTCAGGGCCCGATTTTCCAAAACTCCTATGAACAGTGTTCATAGGAGTTCATCATAACTGCTTTGGGAAGAAACCAGATTAAACTTAGCTGTTACCTTTAGATCTGTCCAGTCAGGAAGTAGATGTTGTTCCTCAAGAAAGAGAGAAGTGGTCATACTGTTTCTACATTTGTTGCATGTTTAAATCTTCTGGTTTTATAATAGGGAAGAAATTATGGAATTGTTAAATTTGAATACATTGGACAACGATCAGGTATTCCACTTTTTTTCTCACCTTGATATCAATTTTGGAAAACTATGTCATAGTTAAAACCAGTGTATACATGTGTATACACAGACACACAAATCAACTTTAAAATATTTGACTCAGTTACCCAGATGTTTAGGTTTGGGAGCTTGATTCAGTATCATTTCTTCTTCACCCTGCATAAATACATAAAGTTGTAAATTGTTCATCTTGTTATCTTTTTATATTGAACACTAAAGTGTATGCAACCTTGAATAATACTTTTAAAATAATAATCTTAAAAATGTTTTTATTACAGTTTGGAAAGGGCTTGGATGCATAATCACATATTTTCTTTAAGAGCCATAATAAATTTGAATGTAAAAAGACATCATTACTGCATTTATTGTCAGTTTCCTGGTTGTAAATATTTTTACTAATAGTGAATGCAAACAATGCCTATAAAGAAATTAAGCTTTTTATTTTTTCTAGCCCTATGAAAAATAGATATCATTTGGGCTAAAGTATATTTTCTGCAAATATTACTGTTGCAAGGGTGAAAAGTCAAAATGGAGTAACTTTAGTCAGAGTGGCAACCATTTTAACATTGTTTAACTTTGTCATGCTTTTTCAGCAGCTTACTTCAACCTACCTTATAATCATTAAACAAGAAACAAAACCAGTTTCCCAGAGGTAGTTGCTGATAATTGTCTTGTAACCCCCCAAGCATGCTTTGTACTAATTACCCTTTTATCCAAAGCATTTGTATTTTATCCAAAATATTGTTGTGATTGGCCCCTTCATAACCAATGTGACACAGACCACCACCCCATCATCATGCTTACCTGCCCCCTTGTGACAATGTGACACAGACCACCATCCCATCACCATGGAGACTTGCCCCCACTAAAAGGGAAGCTTTAAAAGCTTTCAACCTCAAGCATTCACGGCCAACCGTTCCTCAAGTGTCTGGCCCGCCTCTTCAATCTTGGAGAGGTGGATCCACCCTTTTTATCTGATCTACTTTCTAAATAAACTTTTTCTGATCTACTCTTTGTGCAGTTCTTTGCATCTTTTCCTCAGCACTGGCTCACCAACCTAACAACTGTCAAGGAATTTTTGTAAAGTCAGTTTGCTTACTGAGACCTATTGTATACCAGACTTGACATTTTATGGAACATTTCCCACATAGTTATATTTGAATTTTGATGAGGAAGGAGTTATAACTCCTTCATCATGGTGGATTTCCTGCAACCCCAGAAACAGTAAAACAGTTTCATGTCCTTATAAGTTCACTGTGACTTTGCACTGCTTTCTTGGTACTAGGATTTTCCCTCCATGTTACTTCTGTCTTTTGCTGTTTCTTCCCATAGTTAGAGCATTCCTAAATTCCATATTCATAATTTCTTCTCCTTCCACCAGTTTTCTTGATGTGAACACAATGGGCTGCAAAATCACACATCCCATTTAAGGTAGGGAAACTTCTAGTAATGTTCCTTGTTTTAAAAGTTTCAGACAACACAGGTTATTTTACTTGTCTGTACTTTAGAAATTTTATATATCAGACTTTGAACAACCTATTCAAATAAAACCATGAACAAGATTTATCCCCTTTCTTGCCCAGACACCAGGAGCAAGGTGCCCTCTCAAGCACTTTTACATAGACAGTGGAATGGGTAGGTGCAAGTCTCCTGAGCACCTTGATCTTGGTGCTTTCCTCTGAGTGGATGATGGCCTAATTCTGACTTATATGTTAGAGAAATAGTGCACATATGAAACAATGATGAAGTGCATAATAATTCGGCTTGCTGAGAATGTACTTGGGTGTGTGTGTGTGTGAGAGAGAGAGAGAGAGAGAGAGCGAGAACTCCCTTGAGCAAGCTTTCATACTTTAAAAATACAAACCAAAATAAAAATACAAAACATTTTGGTTTTATTCTTTGCCTTCCATGCACATTCATGGGTTTGGTTCAGAACAAAGCCTGCAGTTCTTTGTGATTCTATCAGCTAAAAGGCATGAGCTGTGTTATGTAAAATATTCCATAGAACCAATTTCGTTATATGAAATCACAGCCTTTTTGTTTTCCGAGACATGTTTACTATAGCTTCTTTTATTGAGCCCTGCTATAAAAAAAAAAAAAGATTATGATTTCTAAATAGAGAAAATGACCATTATGGTCTCATCCTCAATTCTATTTGGATTTAGGGCATGCTAGTGCCTGGTCTTTAGTTAATAAAAAAGCCTCTTGCTAAATTGTGTGGTCCTTGTTGTGACCGTCTCTGAGTTATGTCATGTCTGAATATTTATAGTGGTCCTTCCCAGGTCAGAATCTGTCAGTGTATTTCATAAGTAGTAGATAGGCGATCTAGGATAATTACAACTGCACTGTGAGTCTTCTGGGACATCTGAGGATCTATGAGAGGAAGATTGGAGTGACAGAATTTTCCCTGGGTTTTGAATTTACTTTGAGCATATTCCCCAAATCACCTGTTTGTCAAAGGGCCCTCCCGAGGCTGCTCTGACATTTGATGCAGTTTGCTCATGCTGGATGTCTGTTTGGAGTGCCGTTTTTCCCTTTCATTCTGGGTGATGACTTTCAAGTTCAGTGATAACATCAATTTCCTTGTTTTAGCTTTCCCTGGTCCCCTTATCCCCTATGAAGGGCATGATTAATTACTCTGTATTGTCAGCATATGAAGAGGGGCCCCCAAAAGCCCCAGAATTATCTTTTGGAAGGCAGGACCCTTGTGGGCTTCCCCTGCTAGGTAAATGTTCTAGGAACCCATCAGCGTCAGTGTACCAACTAGCATTGTTGTAAGAGGCTTGAGGCTGCGTTCAGCTTCAGTAAAAAATTTTTTGAGATTCTTTCAACCCATTTGCTCATTTCATGATGGGTGATTTATTAGTGCGCCTGCCCACACCATGCTGAGTGTTCAGTTTTTTACCAAAATTGGAATGACTCCCATGTCCCACCCTATTCACGCGATCTCGCCCTGAGCGCTTCTTTTTCATTTGTTCTGTGAAAAAAGTCCCCAAATAGAAACATTTTGCCACTGTGAAAAAGGTGAAACCAAAAATGGCAGAAGCACCAAAAGACATCAACATTGACATTTTAAAAGCTGTTTTGAGTTATGCAAAAAGCGTCTCGATAGGTGTATTTCATCAAACAGTACTTTGAAGGTGACTGCGTTTAAACATGTAAATACACAATTTTAAAATCAATTCCAGGTTCTGGGGGGGCCCTCCTTGTATATAACGTTTTTAAGCACCAGATTCTGTGTGAGATCCTGAGGATTCAAAGATGAATAGAACTTCTCGCTTTCCCACCCCTTCCCATTCCTTATCTTAGGCTCACAGTGTCCAGGGAGACAGTCAAGCAAAAATTCAGCGGTGTGACTAGACCTATCCAGAAGATGATGGAACTGTCGAGATGGAAAGTGTTTATATAGCGTTTTAATCGTACATCTGTTTTAGCCTTTGTGTTGTAGTTTATTGGTGTAACTGTCTTCTAGACTAGAGACTGTGCCTCTTAAGGACAAGCACTGGAGTTTACTTATCTTGGGGTTGCCAGCACTTGGAGAGCCTACTGTGTGTCAGCCAGCTGTATCATGAATCCAGATACGGTCCCCACAACATAAGGAGTTTTTCCCCTGGTGGCGGAGACAGACATATCACACTCAGATTTAAGAAAGGATGATAGGGGAACACAGAGGAAGAATATCCCACAATTTGGGGAAAGGCTGTCAGGGAAAGCTAGAGAATGCTTTGCCTAAGGTGGCATTTGAAGGCCAATCAAGAGTCAGCTAAATAACATAGAAGGAATTCAAGGCAAGATGCAGTCAGAGAGGTTGTATAAATGTGTTCTAGTTTTATATCAAAGACCAGAGAACCATTAAGGGATTCTAAGCCAAATAGTGCCATGGTATGTTAGAAAGGAT